GAAGGTCAAACAACTTCTTTACCATATTATCCCTACCGTCGTTTGTAGCAGTTGATACATTCAATAGAGTACCATCGAAATTGGCTCGGGTTGGCTTGATCCTACACTGTCCGATTACTTCACATCCAAGCATTTTTTATCATGCCGATTATTTATCAAAACTCGAACCCTCTGATTTCTGGTCACTTATATCCTGAAGTTTTTAAACGCCCCTGATAGTGAAGACCTGCTTAACTCTTCTGAAATCCAGACTTAATATTTATGAGCTTAAATAGTTTACACCTCCCAGTCTCGTTACCTTCCTCTAATTTCCGGATGGAGGCGTGACGAAGTATTTTATTAACGGTGTCCGAGTGCCACTTCCTCATTAGGTTGAAGAACCCAAATTGCATGATTGACTTACAATTGTATTCTTTGTCAGGCTATAATCGGTTTATTATGAGTAGGCTTCACGATTCAGCTCACTTAAGCTTGTCTCCAAAAATGTATTCTCGTCCAAGATGGACTGCAGCTTCGATCAAGCCTAGTTCCATCATCACCTCAATGGGAATGGAAGGATTAAGAGCATCTTGAATAGGAAAGTCAAATCCAGCTTAGATGAGAATCCCTTTTTGGGGGCTGTAAGATAAATAATGTCATTCATTGCTCTATGTAAACGAGAATGAATAACTCTGTTCTTATTCTATCCTAATACAGCCTTGTGAACTAGATAAATAACCCTCTTTGCTATACCGGAACATTTTGTCTAACCTGAATACAAGGAGAAAAGCCAATCAACATAATGTGGCATTTTAAAACGTCCCAGACATGTTAGACAGTTAAATCCAGTGTGAAGCTCGTTAAGTATTTGCCATAGTTCTTTATAATTACTTATAATATGGGTCTACCAACCGGATAGAAATAGTACGAACATTTTTAGGTAATACAATTAAGGAATATTTAATTTCAATATAAAATTTATATAGGCAAGCTAATAAGTTCATTCTTTCACTTCTGGAAATAATTGCGTTTCTTTTTCC